TGAAAAGGTGGACTGGAACAGCAACTCCAGTGCCGACTCCCTGGTGGGACGGGTGCAGGAAGTGTTCAATGAGCTAAACCTACAGGAGAGATGTCCTCACTCTCTTTCACCAATACAGGAAACCTCATCATGATGACTAGTCATTTGCTCAGGACCTGTGACACCACAGCCACTTCGATGACCCCAGAGGCCACTGGTAGTATGGACAAAAAAGGTATCAGAGAGGACAGCTAGGTGTCAGGCAGAGGTTGGGGAGAGGAGAAAGGGGAGGGAGAGAAGAGAGAGGGACAGAGTGACAGAGAGCTGACAGCAATACAGACACAGAAAAAGAGAAAGAGAGAGAAGAAGAAAAAGAGGGATAATGAGATGCACAGGCAGACCCACAAAAGACTACCTGTCCCACCATCCTGATGAACTTTAATATTGAAAGTAGTATTGACTCATCACCAGAGCAGCCAAGTCCTGAAAAAAAGTGCACTAGGGAATTCTAAGCAGGGACACCAAGAACCCATCATTGTTAATGTTCCCTTTCCCCAACTGCCACCTCCACTAAATCCCAGGGGTAGGAGGACAAATAAGAACCCATGAACATCAGAAGTAAGATCAGAGACTGCAAACCAGGTCAAGAGTAAAAAGGCTTGGTGGGATTACCCCCCACAGGGCTGGGGGGCACATTTTAAGGATGTTGACATCTAAGATCCCTTCCCGAGACCAGGACATACAGAAGAAACACTTGAAGGAACTGTGGATATTTAGCCCAGAGGGGAAAAGACCACCTTAAGACTTTGATAGGTAGGTAGACCACTAGAGCTCCTTTCAGCACTAAAGTACTCTGATTCCATAAAGTATTTTGAAGGGCTCTCATGGGAAAAATCAAACTCATTTCGCGTGGCTCCCAATGGGTAAATTAGGAGAAATTAGAGAAATTCACAAGGAGACAGATCCAATTTGATGAAAGGAAGAAGCTTTAAACACTGCCAGGTGTTTCAGAGAAGGCTGATGGACTGTCACTGCAGGGGTGTTCAGAGGGGCTTCTGTATAGCAGGTCAAGAGCAGGGCTAGGTGGCACCCCAGACCCTTCCCAGTGCCAACCCCCTGAGTAGTAGGGTTTGGGGTACATAGAAACTTTGGGGGCTCAGGGAAGCCTAATCAAGCCAACAAAAGTGTCAGCTCCTAAAACTGGATGATAAAAACAGAAAATCGCATTGATTTCAATGGACCTCTTCCTCCCAACAAACTCATTTTATGGGAGAAAGAGCTTATCATTAATGGTGGTGGTCACACAAAAGAATGGGCGCTGGCCGGCTGTGGGCCCTTCTGCCACTGCACACAAACACTGCACAGAACGCCAGCAAGCCAGGTGCGGAGTGACAGGTGTTTCAGAGATAAACAAGAAAAGGGAGAAGTTCTTAAAAGCTTGTTATTGGGAAATCACAACGCTCAATTCTAATTTCTTGGTGGGTGTGGGTTATGTGGGTCAGCTCATGCACTGCCTCATGAATTTGTTTTTCTGGCCAAGTGAGTCTGCCAGGATGGGAAAGCTAATTCCTATGAGCTGTCACTGTAGCTCTGAGAACAGAGATGCTCCGAGACCCGCAATCGTATGGGTTGCACTTCAGAAGGACAGGGGTGGATCCAGGCCGCCTGGAATCAGAGGCTGCTCTCCTGCTTAGGTGCCGTGTGGCTCAGGGCGAGTAGGTCAGCCTCTCGCTGTCAAGGATTCCTCCTCCTTGAAGGAGAGAAAATAATCATCTACCCATAGGATTATTTGGGAGATTAAACATTTATAACACGACATTTTAGTATGAGTCACTTAGAACAGGACCTAGTGCTTAGGAAGTTCTACATTTCTTACTGTAGTATTGTTTTATGTATTTATCATAGTCATTTTTGAAAGAAGCAGGATAGAGAGGGGAAAATCATGGACTTTGGAATGAGTTAGAGCTGAGTTCAATTCCCGCTCTCCAAGCCCTTGGTTGAACAACTGTAAAAAGAGGGCAACCCTCCCCACCAACCTCCCCTGGGGTTAGGTGAGAAATTAAATAGAATGTCTCTGTGCCCAGTTCAGTGCCCAGCACTCAGAAACATTCAAGCAACCTTTGTTTCTTCGCCACTATGCCAGGGCACTGTGCTAAGAGGTAGGGGACATAAACATGAACGAGAGGTAGTCCCTGTCCTCAAAGGGCTCATGTCCAGAAGAAAGTCCTGGATGTAAGCAATGATACGGTGCTGCAACAAGGGCTATGGTGGAGGCATCAGTCCAGTTATCTTGGAGGCAGTGTTTCAGCTGGGATTTGAAGAATTGAACTTCACTGAGCTCGTCCAAGTACTGGTCAGGGAGGAGTGGGGGTGTTCAGGCTGTGTAGGGAGTGCACTGTGTACATGGGTTATAAAGGGAGCCATTGGTCATTGCTTGGGGCCATTCTCCACCTCTGAGTCCACCTCTGGATTTTCATGTCAGGACCCCTGGGTATGACTTCTCTCTCTGGAGGAGCGACCACCTGAAGAATTCACAGGAAAAGGCATAGCAGAGAAAACACTTGGGCAACCAAAAGCAGCCTGTGTACATTTCAAGAGGAAAATTTCCAGGAAAGCATCATAGAATGTCCTAAAGTTTTCTAGAAGACAGAGCTTAGTGCCACCCCAGAGTTACAATGCAGGAAGACTCAGATGTGTGCCCTGGCTGTTTCATCAGTAACTGCACTGATCTCACGCAGCCGCCCCACCCAGGCTGGGATGTGTGTCACTATGGCACCCCCCAGGACTGCTGGCACCCGGCTGGGAGCACTGGTGTGTGAGCTGTTCTTAGAGGTCCCATTAAACTGGCAGATTCGGAACCCCACCCCCTGGCCAGCAACAGACATCTTCAAGGAACCGAATCCAAAGCAGAAGTTCAGTGAAGCCCAATTTCAATAGCTTGCACCCCAGGTGAATGACAAGGACCTCCAGCTGTGTGTGTATTATGTGCATGTATGTTGTATTTATGTGTATGTTGTGTGTACATGTGTGTGTGGGAGAGTGGGGGGCAGGGCTCAGATGTCCTCTTCCCCTGAGACCAGAGACAGGGAGTTTCCGTGCTGACAGGATGCCAGTCCAGGCCAGTGGGGCAGGAAAGCCCTCCCCAGCTCCTCCCAGACACCGGACGCTCCTTTACCAGATCTGCCCAGTGCCCCTAATAAACCATCACAAAATGGGCAAATCTCTTCTTCAAGTCCAAATCCCCCAACTTCACTAGCGCCCTTGAACCCCAAGGATCCCTTCAGCCATCTCTACTCCCACCTGCTCCCTGCCCACCCCCTCATTAAAATCTAATCTCGGGAAAATGGCAAACTTCTTAATACCACGGAGCAATGGGGCTGGAAGTGTTATGTATCCCAGAGAGGCCTCGGTGAGTCAGGTATTTGGAAAGTATGGGTAGAGACCTACTGTGCACCTCACATCAACACATCTATTCATACCACCCACTAAGTGCACACATATGTACACAGAGAGAACAAACACACTATCAGACACTATCCCACACGCACTCAAGTAGCCACAGTACATGTGCCAACAAGCTCACATTCATGAGATGCACAGAAATGCCTATTCACACATACACGTGCACATCCTACCCACACTCTGCACGACACCCCACTCATACACTTGTTCAAATGCCGCACTACTCAGTGGCTCACTCTCTCTACAGCCCATCTCACTAGTAAACACAATGTTTCTACTCCACACCTCTCCCACCAGCCCGCACACCCTGGCGCATATGTGCAGCATCCCCCACCCGGCCGGCTCCAACAAGAGGCTTCCCGCTCGGTGTGCAGCGGCCACAGTGGCCAGGAATTAAAATGCAGCGAGGAGGAGCCGGGCGCGTCAGCACCGCGTCTCCAGGAGCGCACAGAGCTCGCCACCGCCACCCCGCCCGCCTGGAGCCGCGGGGCCAGCGAGCTGAGGAGCAGGTGCTTGAAGCCCAGCCGCGCCAACGCCGCGCGGCCGCTGCCCAAGTTCGCCCGGGGCCCGAAGAGGGCCGGGCAATCCGGAGACGAGCTCAGCTGGCGCCACTGCCACCGAGGACTTGGAATCTCGAGAGGAGAAGGGAGCTCGGAGCAGCCAGTTCGGGTCACTCCCGGGAGCTGTAAGCCGGGGCTCCGCAGTCCCCAGCTCTTAGAGTCACCGGGGCAGTGAGAAGAGGCAGTGGGCAGCGAGGCCCGGCTTTCCTGGAGATTCGAGGCACCCCTGAAAGCTGGGTGAAGAAACGACACTTCCATCTAGCCCTCCTCGACGGGGCCCAGCCGCCAGCAGCCAGCAGTCCTGGCAGGACGCCCTGAGAGCCCCCAGCCCCAGGCGAGAGGGGGCACATTGCAACGCAAGGCTCGGGCGCGGGACTTGAGGGAGCCTTAGCCAGTCTCGGCGGAGTGCAGCCCGAGGAGCAGTGAGAAGGGTCTCGGAGGGAAGAGAAGGAGGGCAGCAGCCAACAGAGAGACCACTCACCCAGTACACACCCACCCCACCCGCCGAGCCCGGGGCCGCGGTGCGCCTCTGGGGGCGCTCGTTCCCTGGCGACTTCTCTCGTGTCCCAGCACCGCTGGGCTACTGACCCAATCGGTAGGGTCTTTGGGAATGTCCAAATCAGTCATGGTGGCCGAGTGGCTGCTCTCCCAGGACCAGCGTAAAAGCTGGGGTTAGGCGGAGCAGGGGGGACTCAGTTCAGGGTCCCCCGAGGTCCAGAACGAAGGCGGACGGGCGCAGCACCCAGAGACTGGAGAGGCGGCACCCAGTGGGGCTCCATGCTGAGGTAGTGGCCGGCGTCGGGCATCCTTTAGAAAGACTAGGGGCCAGGAGAGCCTGTGAGGCGCTCGAGAGAAGCCACTGCCAGGGGCGGCGAGTCGAGGCGGCGCTCAGTCCCGGGCAGGCGCCCGCGGAGACGGCAGCGGCGGCGCCCGGCGGGCATGCCGCGCCACCGGAGCTCCTTTCGGGCGCACGCTTCCCTAGCGCGGGCTGCGCGCGGCTGCTGCTGCTTCCACTGCTGCTGCGGACTCCCATGGCGGCTCCGCCCGGCCGGGGCTGCTGCCGCTGCCGCCAGCCGCGGGCTGAATGAATGAGCCGGAGCGGAGGAGCCGGGCTGCGCCCGGCCGCGCTCACCGGCCCGGGACGCTTCCGCATGGCTCGAGAGGAGCCGGCGCCGGTGGCGGCGGCCGGGCAGCCCGGGGGTGGCAGGGGCGGCGTGCGGGAGCCGGCGCTGCAGGGGCCAGGGGTCGCCCGCAGGGGGCGGCCGTCGCTGAGCCGCGCTAAACTGCACGGGCTGCGGCACATGTGCGCCGGGCGCGCGGCGGCGGGGGGCTCCTTCCAGCGGCGGGCTCTGTGGGTGCTGGCCTTCTGCACGTCCCTCGGCTTACTGCTGTCTTGGTCCTCAAACCGCCTGCTGTACTGGCTCAGCTTCCCGTCGCACACGCGGGTGCACCGCGAGTGGAGTCGCCAGCTGCCCTTCCCCGCCGTCACCGTGTGCAACAACAACCCGCTTCGCTTCCCGCGCCTCTCCAAGGGGGACCTTTACTATGCCGGACACTGGCTGGGGCTGCTGCTGCCCAACCGCACGGCGCGCCCGCTGGTCAGCGAGCTGCTGAGGGGCGACGAGCCACGCCGCCAGTGGTTCCGCAAGCTGGCCGACTTCCGCCTCTTCCTGCCGCCGCGCCACTTCGAGGGCATCAGCGCCGCCTTCATGGACCGCCTGGGCCACCAGCTCGAGGACATGCTGCTGTCCTGCAAGTACCGCGGCGAGCTCTGCGGTCCGCACAACTTCTCCTCCGTGAGTTGCCCTCTGCGTGAACCTGCTCCCTCTACTCCCCGACTCTCTACATCCAAAAGGTCCCCATCCCCCGGTGGGGGTGGGGGACCTGGACACCAGGCCACTTGCGATCACATCATTCCAGGATCCACTCTTGGATCCCCGGGCCTTCTCCTGCAGATTGTGGGAAGTTCAACACAACTGTAGGAGGACTCACCCCCTCTGTGTCCCTGCCTCTCTCCTTCCAGTATCAACCCCCAAGCCCTCAGCTCTGCTCCTTTGGGCTGCTGCTGAGAAATACTAGGCCTCCTTCTCCAGAGCCTCGCCCCCCACCCACCCAGGTCCACAGGACTCCAGGCCACTGCCCTGTATTTGGGTTGCAGGAATGGGAGGAGAGGGAAGCATGCCTTAAGTGTGGGCTTGTTGTCTCTGGGAAAACTACTAGGAAGCTCTTCAAAACTGGGCCATCAGGAGACACATGCAGAAGCCTTAAAGCAAGCTTACCACTCTAAGAGCTATGGCTTCAGAGTTCCAATACCCTTCCTGCCCAGGAGGACTGTAGGGGAAACTCCCAGAATATTCATTAAATATTAATACTGAAGCTGTAGTTGGCTTGGCGGGGGAGGCAGCAGTCCCTTCTGCTACTTTTAAAAATTGTTTGTGTCTTAAGTATCCAAAGGAATTGAATAGTGGTGGGCACTGGCAGGGCTCCTGCCCCCACCAGGTGTGAGTGTGGGTCTTCCAGTCTAGAGGAACCAACTCCGCCTGCAGTGGAGAAAGCAGAGAGGCGGAGGTATTAATGGAACAGCCAGGGCCTGGAGAAGCTGTGCTTAGAGCTTGTAAGCCATTTGCTCTGCTCATTTCCCCCACACTGTGTATCTGGATAACACAACTGCCAGGCAGAAGGTATCTGCCTTGCGCTGCTTGTCTAGGGGGAGTTTGGGTGCCAAGTTCCAGCATGGAGCGAGCCTGTCCTGTAGTTTGTATATAAATGTCTCTTAGGTGGCTCTGGGCTTTTCCACTCACGAAGGGAATGTTGGGGTGTGTGCTTATTTGCAGTGCTGTGATGGTGATTTGACCAGCCCAAAGGCATCACTCCTGACAGTTTCGTTTCTGACAAAGCTCTTCCTGGGGCGGTGAAGCAATGACACCATCCCGACAGGTGTTGGTGCATCAGGCCAGGCACTCGATTGGCTGATTGGGCTAGTCCCTGACTAGATAGGTGACCCTGGCTTCAATATTACCCTCCTTGCTTTGCGTCCAGCCTGTTTGTAGAACAACCTGGAATTATTGTTTTCTGGGATTTTTTTTTCATTTTGCCTTCAAAGAATATCTGCCTGGTGACTGCCCCTACCTTAGCAGTCAAGAGGTTACCATAAACCTTTGCTACTAAGTGACTTCTCTCAAACTTCAGTAATTCTGAGTTCCATGAAGATGAAGGAATGAGGATACTGATGCTTTTTTTGTTTATTGGGGTTATTTTTCTTTTTGTCCAACTACTAACTAGTAGGCCCTAGAGTTATACTGAAGTTCGATGTGCATTCAAGTATCTGCAGCTTCAGCTCCAAGTTAAACAACATGGCCCAGCAAATACAATTCTGCGCATCTGAAACTTTATCAAGTGTACAGAATTGCACGCTAACAGCCAGTATTCACCTCGGACATTCACCCCATCCCTGCATTAGAATGAGTTTTGTTCCCATGTCAAAGAAGAGGCTCTAAAACACTGCCCAAAGCTCAGAGCCAGCAAGTTCGAAGTCCAACTCCACATACCATCAAGTCCATTTTATAGAAGCCACAGGTAACCTTCCTCTCTGACCCTGGGCCTCTCTTCTATCAGAGGACCCCTGGGTAGGACTGTTGCTCCCCCCACCTCCACACCCACCAAATCTCATCTCTCCTAGAAACATGGCTGGGAGAGTTGAACCTGAAGCTGCCCCAGGGGTCTAGGTGGTCATGTCCTTGGCCACATGTGACCAGGGCCTAACTCAGCTCTGTCTAGAAGCACACAGCACCGTCAGGAGCTGCCTGACCTCAGCCTCCCCAGCAGCTGCAGGTATGGCCATGGATTGAAGAAAGCATGGTCCTTCCCACCGTGCAGACACTTGTTCCCCCTCCACGTTCCCTGCTTTCCTGCTTTGGGAGAGTCTGCAGACACGCACCCAACCATACTCGGGAGAAATATGACCTTCATTTCCCAAGGCATGTGTTCCCAGGGACTCAGTTGCCCGCTGCTGGCTTCCTATTGCTGCCTTCTCCTGGAAGCTTCCAGCCCCTGAACATTTATTTCATGTGGTCGTTTTTTTCCAAGGACCTCAGAATTAAAGGCTCTACCCCTCTATCTGTGGAAGCCAAACACTGTTTCAGGGGAGCCCCAAATACAGGGTGGCCCCATCAGGAATACTTTTGTCTAGCCATGCTACTCTGTCTCAAGCCTTCATCATCTTCGATGGAGCAGTGCTCATGTGGCGGTTAAGAGCGTGAATGCTCAAGCTGTGTGGGTGGTTCAGAGGCTGAGACTACCACTTACTGTGCACCCCTGGACAAGTGACTTAATCTCTCTGTTCTTCCTTTCCTGCTCCATCTAGTGGACATAACAATAGTAGATATACCACGTTAGTTGTGTGTGTGTGCGTGTGTATGGGGTGGGGAGCTCTTAAAACTTTGCTGGACCCGCAGAGAAATGTTGCCTGTAAGTGGTATTGGCCTCCAGACTGGCCTTTGGCTTCCAGCTCAGTGCTCTCTCTGCTCTGCATCCAGCCTCTGCACTGTAGCCACAATAATCTTTCTAAAGCTCCACTCTGAGCACGTCATCCTGCTCCTTAAACCCCTGAATGGCTCACCTGTCCTCAGGATGAGGTCGATTCCCCAGGCCCTGCACTCAGTCCCCGCCCTCTCCCTCGCCGTGCCTTCTCTCATACCACTGACTCAGGCTCCACAGAACAGCCTACAACCTCTGGACCCCACTCTGCAAGACTCTCTGCCTTGCTCTCTGCCCTCCTCCACCATCTCCTACCCAGTGCCTTGTCAACCTGGGGACACCAACTCTTCCTTCAATACCCAGCCCTAGGGATGTTTCCTGATCACCCCTCTCGTCTCCCCTCATTACTGGACAAGGGTGTCTTTCTCTGTCCAGCCCCCTACCACCGTTTAGGTGGCAGTCCTCGCATGTGTATGTGTCACCACTTCTACTGGCCTGAGTCTGTCTCCCGCTCCAGACCCAGGCAGGAATCATGTCTGGTCTCCCTGATGTCTCTCCGCCTAGCACAGAGCCTGACTCTGAGTTTAGGAAGAGTCTGGGGAATGAATGTCTTCACCAGGTCCCCCCAGGGCTTCCTATTGTCCTGAGCCACCCACTCAAAGACTCTTGCCTTAATTTTTCCAGGAAAAATTAGTGGAGTGCATTTCTAATGAATAAATGCCCAGACAAGTTTGGGACATGTATTCCTTTTAGGGACAAAGGAGGAGCAGGATGCTAAGCACTCCCCAGACTCCTGTGCTTCCCAGGCCCTAAGAGAACTAGTGTAACTGGTGAGGAGGGGGCTTCAGGGACCCTTGTGGGAATGTGCTGCTGTCCCCAAGGTCTCACTCATGGACTGGAGACAGACTCAGGAGCGGGGAGAAGAGCACTGTGGAGAGGCATCTCCTCGGTTTCACTGACCAGGCCCACTCGGGATGGGGTTCCTTGCAGCTCCTCTGTGTGTGTGTTGCGGCTGGGCAGGGATCAATCACTCAGCACTCAGACAAAGCAGCTCCTGCTTCTGAATGCCCTTGTTGTCTCCCTGGCATCAGCCCTGGACCTCAGACTCTGTGCAGCCCGGCCCTTCCGGGTTTTCCAGGGGGCCGGGGAAAGTAGCCTTCCCAATAACTGGGCAGGATGCAGAACCATGAGGCCCATCTCTCCAGGCACTGGGGCCTCGGAAAAGGGCCTGACTGGGAGACAGGGCCACCAGGGTCCAATGTAAGAACAAGGAGCAGTACACCCTCTCTGGGAGGAGACGTGGTTCAGGGCACAGTGTCAGGCAGACCTGGCTTGGGACCTTGGCTCTGCCCCTTACTAACTTTGGGCAGGCAGGTGGCTCTCCAAGCCTCGGAGAGCTAGGATGCGGATAGCATGCATGTTTTGTTGACCCGCCCACACCTGGACAGCAGTAGGTGCTCGATATTCAAGAACTGTTGTTGTAACTGGAGAAAGGGGTCTACAGGGAAATAATCTTTTCATGTGGTGGTAGCAGTGATTAATTATTAGCAATATAATTACCCTATCTTATCATGACCACTTACCTAAGTGGGGATACGCTCATTTCCTGGTTCATTTCTCATTCAGTCAGTGTCTATTGAGTGTCAACTCTATGTTAAGCTGTCTACAAGCTGCTGGGCATGTAAAATTAAGTAAATCTAGGTGCGCTGCAGGACTGTTGAGGAAGGAGGTAGGTGAACAGTTGCCAGGAGTATGGGCTCAGAGGGGCCCCCAGGTCCACAGAAGGAGGGGAAGTAGACTTTGGGGGAGGGGAGAGCATGTGCAAATCAGTACAGAGGCCTGGAACAATGAGACTGAACACGGGCTTTTAGGCCCTGAGAGTAGTTCAAGGTAGCTGGAGATTAGGGCTGAATGTATGGAGGTGGGGTGGATTGGAGGATGGCAAAGCAACAAACTGATGGACACTTGGAAGCCAAACTGAGTTTTTAAACTGGTTAGCAAGAGCTCTGACTTCTTTTATACTGGCTGTTATGCTGTGAAAGGAGACCTCACCTGTGTCCCAGCAACCCCCCTCCCCGGCTGCCACCCCCATTCCTAACTCCAGCAGAGGTCATTCCTCCTGTTCTTGGCTGCCATTTGCAGGGGTCAGCCTGGAGCCCAGATTCTGAACTGGTCATATGTTAAAGACACAGACACAGCACTTGGGTTAATCACACTTCGTCACAGCAAGCAGGCTGGCTAGTAGGAGCCAGTGACAGAAAACAAGAAATCATATCAGCAGCATATTGTTTGAGGTCAGCACATTCTGCTTACATGGTGC